AAAATATGAAAAGTAACTAACCTGACGACAGACGCCACCTGTCCCATAACATTACCTGGGCTGGAGGTTTTGCACGCATTTCTTATGCTCAGTGAACTACTTTTCTCGATCGTAACGAGCGTTGACAATTCGCTTATAGTGAATATGAATGTGGATGATTGTGGCGCAATTTCTTTAACGTATCGCAACAGTGCAGCGGTGCCTATTCGGCATTGCTTGTTTCAGCTCGCCCGCGGTCTGTTCCAATTCAGAGGGTGCGCTGCTTCTGCAACACCCATTGCCTCCTAAATGCAGCTACGATGCGGCACTGATGCAATTAAGTGTATGCTGAGAAGCCTTAGGTGAGGCCCACACTGCCGACCTTGAAGGCTAATTCGTCCGTACTGCTCTTCAGCGCGCGAGAAACTACGCCCCACAAGATGCCTTTGCGTGCGCACACTTCGTAAGATGCCAGGTTGGCTACTCATCTCAAAGTGGACCAAACGTTGCCTTTGGTAACCCTCAGTATATTTCTTTGCTGTTTTGGAGTGCTTGTCTAACCCTCCAGCTCTTGTGGAAACATTTAGAGTCTTTCCGAACACATCTCAGTTCCTGTTCTTACGAACTCACAAATTCCTTTTGTTTTTCATGTTTTTCTCATATGGAGGAGTATAGAAGAGCCTGTAGTCTATGATCAGGTGTTGGGCCTATCGACATGATGAATATCCTGCTCATATCTACACAGTTGCAAAATGAAGGACTGCAAGAGATAGAGGCTTGCCGCTGCAGTGCAGGACACTCCAGGATATCACGCCAAGCTTCTCTATTGCCTTATAACTTGTGTGGATGCTTGTGAAGTTGCTGTGGATCTTTTTCCCGTGGATAGTTGAAAACCAGGAGATGCACCGTCGCATTGCTCGGGGCGTTGCATGCGGTGCACTGGTATGCCGGGGCAAAATATACCTGCTTCATTCCCACTCGTCATGTGACGCTGTTATGAAACACTTGAGCCTTCTACGACATGCCAGAACACCAGCATGAGGTTTTGCTGAGTTCCAGAAAGTACGTTATCGTGCTAGTTCACTCAAAGAAATTATGCTTGCCTCGCTAAGCAAGGCAGAAAATCTCTGCCAGTTGGAATAACAAAAAAACGCTCCAAACGAAGCTCCATGTCCTGAAAAGCCCCTTAGAAGGGCTGCCTGCAGCAATCTGGAAGTGGCTCTAAGCCTGAGGATAAGTCACCGCGTAAAGAACAGCAAAAATCACATCCTATGCGGGTAGGGAGATGTGCATCTACAGGCACTTAGCCAATGTGTGGTGTTGCCAACGACTGTTTTACGGCACGTGTTTGCTAGCTGCGGAGTTGTAGCTATATAGCACGCGTTCTGCCTTCAACATGTTATGGTTGGTGGAGAAAATTCCCTTGAAGCATCAAAGGTACTTTCGCCTGCACTCGCCTCTTTAGTTCTAGGCGAATGGGTATATTGCTTTGCGGGCCAGATTCTGCTTCAATTATTAAGTGCGTTGCTTGTAGGCTAGTCTACCTGAAAAATAACCACATTTGTTGACAAGAATGAATAAAACCGGCATGGCAAAGTTGTATTGTTTGCTTTCAGGCTTAGCGAACGGCGCTGGGACATGACGGTTCAAGCAACTAAACCAGGGACATTTTTTTCAAGCATTTACTGTTTGGCTCAGCAACACATCACGTCGGGACTGGGTCAAACGTCAGCCTTCAGAAGAGTTGGTTTTTCCCGGCTAGACTGTTTTCGCCATCGCTTTGCCCTTCCTGCAAACGGCCTTGATTTCACAGCATCGGCTTATAGGCAGCCACCAGACAGCAGAGCTGTGTAGCATGCTCTAATATGCTCAGAACAGTCCGCATGCTTTCCCCCATTAGTAAGTACGTTATCCGCTTTGTCAGTAGTGCTCATACACTACTGCAGCTTCCGCTCAACGACCTGCTTGCTGTTTGTTCACTACACGAGCAAACAGCGACGGCAGCCTCGAAGCATCCGCCGTTTTTTTTTACTGTCCGTCTACAGCCTTCGAGCACTCCGAACCACCGTCGTCTCCGTTCCCTAATCCGAAAACCGTTGGCGTATGGCTTAAGGTTTGTGGTTTAGGGTTTAGGGAATATAGGGTTTAGGGCTTCGAGTGTAGTGTATAGGAGATAGGGTTTAGTTTTTAGTTTTAGGGTTTAGGGTCTAGGGCTTTAGTGTTAAGGATTTTTTAGGGTTTAGGGCTGTTTATGGTTTTGTGCTTTTCACTTTCGCAAGGTTTTAAGGGTTCCGCGTCTTGGGGGGTTGAGGGTTTAGGGTTGGGGATAAGGTAGTGTCATAAAGTAAAAGTGCAATTGGAGTATTCTAAACGGGGTGGCATGCCTGTCTGCATGTTATACTCAGCTGTGGGGTTCTATAGATGCGCCCCACAGTACTCCTTCAGAGGTTCATACTAATAGTACGTCATGTTGACTGCAAATATTATACTAAAGTGAAATATTCTTTGTTATTTTGAACAAATCTCAGCATAGCATGTGAGGGATTGAGGGCTCTCACCACACATCATCAGCTTACTGGGCTCGCAGTACCTCTAGTGCTATGGATTCACAACATCCTATCGTGCGAGGGAACTTGGATCCCTACTAGATCTCACAGTTGTTTTTCATCTGCGTTTGTATTGTCGTTGGGGGCACAAGACACAGAGCTGCGGGCATTGACTGGTGCATCTACTGACGTGAGTGGGATCAAGTTCCGTGGGCCCTATAATCCTTAAGGCCCCCATCTGCCCTTAGCTAGCCTTCCGTATACACGTTTCTCACCGTCTGCCTACAGTTAGCGCAGGAACCTCCACTTGGCTTTGGTAGGCTGCGTGTAAGCAAAAGCAAACGTTCTATAAGTACATCCAGAGGTAAACGATGCAACAGAGGAGGTTTCGTTAAAGCTTTCTTGCGAGCACGCGTGAGGTTGACTTGTATGCCCAGCCGCTGCGAGGTGCGCTGCAACACGCCTTCAGGCTGCCTCATCCCCGCAATACCCAGGCCCTGAGGTCAACGTCAGGAGGCCGGAAGGCAGGGAAAGGAGGACATATGCTTCTGGGAAACTCTTGCTGTAAGTCTTAACCTGCATTTCAGCTTGCTTCTGCGTTGATTAAGGCCAGAGAGCAAGCGTTATCCTTGCTCTTAGTACCGCGTGGTTCATCAGGGCACGTACGGGCACGGCTCCAATTCCCACAAGGGTGGCATAAAGCATTGCTGAAAAAAAACGACAAAAAAATAAAGCAAACCAAAGAAAAGAAAAGAAAATGGAACTGAAACCCATTTACTTTTCTTCAACAAAATCGCCTTCAATTTCAGCTGTTCCCTCACCAAAATGGAGATTGATTATGATTCGCTCAGAGAAGGGGGAGGGGGGGTCGACTCACGGTATGGGACATCAGCAGGCGTAATCCAGCTCTATTTCGGCATCCAATGCGGGGGGAAATGCATTCTCGCCAAAAACAATCCAGGAAGAGTGCCTCCGGCTGTGCCGTCCTATGCGATATGATGGGCGCAGGGACGCAGATGAAATAGAGGAGTTCCTTGGTTTCCTAGACATATACCTCCGCCTACAAAATGTCCTAGAAGAATTCAAATTCCCTTTGGACTCCTATTTATTATAAGGGGATGCACGGCGATGGCGGCTACATATAAGCAAGGGCTCTAGATTCCCGGAGAATACCAGGTCCATGCATGCCTTCCAGGATGCGCTGCGCTGCTGGTTTATCCCGAGGTCTGCAACCGTGACGGAACTGAAAAGATATAAGCAAGGGAAGTTATCGATAGAGCGTTATATTGCGAAATACCAGTCCTTGGTGAAACGAATAACTATGGTGGTTCTGGAGCCACTCTATACTTGGTTTATAGCCGGGCTGTCACCCGGAACCAGGCAATCAGTAACCGCCTGGGCTACGGATGGATGAAAGAGTGGAACTCGCTGACATGATAGAGTACCTTCTCAAAATGGAAAGCCACTTCCACAGCCCTAGCCGAAGGGAAGGAAAGCGGATCTGGGAATGATACTGATTTGGAGCCTAGGGATATTGGGGCTGTGAAGACCAGCCCAGCCAAACAGAGGGCTAGAAGCAGTTACCGACGGCAGAGGGTGAACTCAACACGCAGAAAACAAAAAGGAGACACCGAAGGGCACGTTTGATTCTTGTGTAATGAACAGATTGACGTATTTCGATATTGCCGGTTTATGAAGAAGTCTAGCGAACAAATGAAACCAAATCTCGAACAGCGCCACCAAGGGAACGAACAGAGCAAGCAGGGAAATGCCTAAGCCCCCAAGCAACGTGGGGCGCAGTGACGGGGCCACATGATATGACGGCCGCACCGACAGATCCACTTCTTCCAGTGCTTACACAAGTACGCATAAAAGGGCAGGAGCTACTAGCCCTACTCAATACGGGATGCGAAGTGGTTCTGATATCGGAATCCGCATCACGGAGGTGCAGCCTGCCCGTCCACTCATTGGCTCAATATCTGAGGCATGCGTTCCGTCGTGACGGTCTGGTAAATACCGCAATCTTGGGGGATTCAATCCAGTTAAGACCCGATGAACGGCAGAAGCTGGCAAAATTGAAGGGAGAGTTCTCAGATGTACTCAATAACAAAGAGCTACCGGCGGACAGGCCGCTGGTCGCTCAATGCACCGCATCGAACTCATTTCCGGCTCAGCCCAGAGCTTCATTCCAAGGTACAGGCAACTACCACATATTGAAGAGGAAATTTGGCGGCAGGCTGACGAAGTTCTAAAAAATGGCAAGGTTTAGCCGTCAACTACAACGTTTGGGCACAGTCCCATGTTGGCGAAGAAGAAGGACGGCAGGTGGCGCATATGTCTCGACTTCAAGCCCCTCAACAAACTTACAGTGAAACAGAAGAGTCCGATGCCCAAGATCGACGAAATCCCTGACCGTTTACAGGATTCAGAAGTATATTCAGCATTTGTCTTCGCTGAGGCATTCCTGCATATCGGATGAATTGGGATTCATCCGGAGGAGAGGCACGAGACGGTGTTCCACAGCCGCACTCGCAGGCTACTGAACTGCGTCGGCAGGTCGATCACGGCTTCGTGGAAACAATCACTGAGGGGTGGATGGTAATATACATGGCTCGTCTGCTTGTGTTTAGCCGGAATGTGGGGAAACACCTACAGCACCTCCGCCGGGCGCTGCAACTACTGCGTGAGGCGCAGTGGTCCGTGGAAGCGCAAAACTGTTTGTTTTTCATGCAAACAATCAGTTGTTCAGGGTCTCGTGTCTCTGCAGCAGGCGTTGAACCAGATCCGGCTAAGATCGGAGCGATTCAGAGGTGGCTGCCACCGCTGCACATGCGGACGGACGTTCAGAAGTTCCTCGGGCGCGCCTCTTACCACCGCAATTCCATTCCTGAATTCGCTCGTATTGCCGCCCCTCTAGCTGATCTTCTTAAGAAGAACAAGCAGTTTATTTGGACGGACAACAAGGAAGAAGCAACCCGACGCCTCATCGGGCACCTGAGATCATCCCCAGTGCTCGCGGTCGCTGATTTTGACAAACCCTTCTTGCTCACGACCGATGCCAGCGACAGTGCAGTCGAGGTTATGCTCTCTCGGCAGGCTAACAGCTCGAAACGGCACAAAACCGTTGCTTTCTACCCACATCCTTTCACAGAGAGGAAGCAAAAGTTTCCGGTCACGGAAAAGGAGCTCTACTCGGCCTGGTGGGCAGTCAAAAAGTATTGGCTTTACCTGTACGACAGGCAGTCTACGGTCCAAACCGACCATCAATCACTGACACATCTGACAAAGAGTTTTCAAGACTACGATAACGAAAGAATTGTTCGGTGGCTCTCCAAGCTCGCGCAGTATGACTTCACCGTCGAGTATATCAAGGGTATCACCAACGTGGTCGCCAACGCACTCTCCAGACGCCCTACAGGTCAGGCAACATGGTCTGCAACTGTATTTGTCTGTGATGGTTCTCGCTTTCTCTCCAAATTGCTTCCATCTTACTCCTTAGATACCCAAGTGGTTGCTGTCCTAACTAGGGCAACGGGTCGAACACTACAGAATCGATGGCTATCTCCTGTGGTACCAAACGAAGCGTGATGTTCGTAAATCGTACGTTCCAGCCTCGCTTCGCACTGACGTTTTGGGCAAAATGCACGATCATGCCCTAGCAGGTCATGGTGGGGTCAATACAACGGTGGGGCGTCCTCGTGGTGGCCTAGGATGCGCCCCTCAATCGAAGAATACGTCCTCTCTTGTCCGGACTGCCCGAAGCAAAAGCTGCGAAACACCCTCAAACCTGGACTCCTGCACAGCCTGCCATGCCCCAATAGGATCTGGAGGGACATCTCCATGGATTTAATAGTGGGTTTACCACTCATCTGAGGCTATGACAGTGTAGTGAACACTCACTACAATCATGGTAACAGTGCCGTGCTAGTTGTGAAATGAGTGGGGGTTGAATGAACAGCGGAAGTGTCTGTGAGTGCTTATTGATGTACACTGAGTACAACATTGATGATTGCATTAAATATTCTTTACGAAGAGAGATTGGTAAGACTCTAGGAGAGGCTGGCATGAGACTTGGCGTGAGAAACTCTTCTTCAAAAGCGCCAATCTAAGGGGAGTTCTGGGCCTTAGGGATCATGTGGCCCTCGGAACTTGTTCCCACTCACGTCAGTAGATGCAATAGTCTTTGCCAGCAGCTCTGCGTCTTGTGTCCCCAACGACAACATAAACGCAGGTAAAAAACACAATTCTGAGGCGTAGAAGGGATCCCACTTCCCTCACACGATGGAGTGATGGGATTTCATAGCACTCTAGGTACTGCAGGCCCTGTAGGCTGATGAGAAGTGGGGGAGAGCCGTCAGTCCCTCATGCAATGCTGAGAGCTGGTCAAGATAGCTTAGAGTATTTCTCTTTTGTACAAATATTTTAAGTAAGCTTTACGTATTATTAGGTTGTATCTCTGAAGGACTACTGTGGGGCGCATCCCTGGACCCCCACAACTGAGTATAGCGAGCTGGCAAACAATATCTATCATACTGAACAACAACATATCAAAATTAACAAAGGTTAAGGGAATTAGTTCTCTCAGTTTATTGTCTCTCTCTGAAAATTGTTATCTCTCAACCCCAGTAGAGCAGGCACTGCGGCTTTTGGGGCTGGGAGAGGAGACGGCGTAGCCTGGTGCAATAGCTTTTGCACCTAGGCTCATGCCAGCCTCTCCTACAATCATATCAATTTTCATTCCATAAAGAATGTTTAATGCATTCATCAATGATATATTCAATGTACATCAATAAGCACTCACAGACACCTCCACTATTCATACAACCCTCACTCATTTTGTAACATGAGTTAGCGCAGAGTTAGCTCAGGAGCCTATCGACGGCTTTGGCATGTTGCGCGTAAGCGCCTGCAAACGTTATACAAGTTCGTTACGAGGCAAAGCATGCAGCAAAGGAAGCTTCCCTGAAGCTTCCTTTAGCGCACGCGTGGGGCTGGCTTGCTCTGCCAGCCGCCCATTTCTGGCTGCCTCCTCCCCGCGACACCCTGCCCCTGGGCTCAACGCCCAGGATGCCTAGGTACCGCGGAAGGAGGTCAGCTGCTTTTGGAAAACTCTTGCTTTCAGTTTTTGCCTTCATTGCGGCTCGTCTCTGGTCAGGTAAAGGCCAGATGTAGTGCGCTAGCACTACAAGCAAGTGCTGTTACTATAGAAAACTAAATTAGCGGCAATAAGGACAGAGAGATAGAATAAGTACGACCTAAATTACAAATATAAGCTAATTTAGAATAGTGGGACGAATAGGGCAGACCAATTGCAAAAGTAGCAGTCTTATACAGAAAAGGAGGCGCCGGTGCAGCGTTGTCAGGGACGACCGTCCCCCGCGACTAGCGACCCGTTGAGGGATTGCTAGCGGAAGGTCATGGGCCCAAGGGGCAAGCAGATATTTTCTCAAGCGAAAACCCTTGAAACTACTCCAATAACCGAAAATTTGACTAATTAATCGCAGTACTGTTGAAAACTTTATGTATTTCTCAGTTTCGTAGGGGAACACGGTTGTTAGTTCACCCAGAGGTCATTACATTTGGGGGCCGTTCCGGGAAGCCTTTGAAGGTGAATTTCCAATCTCATTGAAACGTAGTTACCTACTTGAACTCTTAAAAATTCTTCTTATCTTACCAAATAACCGGAGAGTCGGGTTCGACGAACGGGAAACGGCGGAAACGAACGACGGCAGGGACTAACTCCGCTTGGCTAGTCGGAAGAAAATGGCAGATCAGAAGGCAGT